CGGCAAACTCGCAGCCCGTGGCCACCCAGTTCGGCGGACGCTTTTTGGCATTGATGATGCGGCGGGCCTTTTCTCCCGGCTCACCGCCATCGGGCCCGGCGTCCGGCGGCGTCACCAGGTCCGTCTTGCCCAGCCAGCGGACAAGCTCCTTGCTGCGCCAGCCGAGCTCACCGCGCAGCCAGTCCGTCGCCGTTGCCAGGCCGGTACCGCCTGCCGGGACCATGTCGGCCAGCTGGACGGCATCCTGCAGCCAGTCGACCGTCACCTCCAGCGGTTCTTCAACCTTGATGTATGCGAGTGCGGCGAACCGCTCACCCGTCTCAAGCAACACCGCATGCGCCTCATCGCGGTGGTTGTCCAGACGAAAGCTCACCAGGCCGGACCAGTCAACCTCAGGTCCTGCACCCTGTTGGGCAGCAGCTGCGATGCCACCATCCACGTGAGAAGCCGGTTCGCTGCCGTTCGGCAGGGTAGTACTCGTGCACGGTGTCACCGAGTCGGCACGTCCGCCAACAGCCTGAACTGCATCGAGCGGCTGCAGTTCAGCGCTGCGAGGGCTTCCGGGGTGGTTCAGATCCTCGAATCCGACAAAGGGGTCAAACTCACCCTCCCCACCCTGCCCCACCTTCTGCAAGACGACACCTTCATCGCCGCCATCGTCCGGCCACGCCATCTCGTGCTCCTGCACAGAAACGCCTGGACCGTCCTCCCCATGGTCGGCGTGCGAGGGCGAGAAGAGGTTAAAACCATCACCGGGAGACTTCTGACCAGCTGCAGTTCCAATTTCTTCTGGGGTGAAGACACCAGGCGTGCCCTTGTCGAGGTGCTTGAACAGGTCCTGCACACTCATCTCTACCAGCCGGGCTCCCTTGAGCTTTCCCTCCCGGTGGGCTTTCACTGTCTTCTGGACCCGGGCGCTCTCGATGTCCGTGGTGGTGCCGGTGTCGGTGGACTGGCGTGCGCGGCTGACGGTGACGGTGTCATCGACAGATCCAGCGGCAGGTTTTGCCGCC